TATCATACTCATTTTAATTGAAAGCTTACTGTGTAAATACCTTATTTAATTATTTTATAATAATAAAATCATAAATAAATAAGAGGATTATTTATAATAAGTAAATAAATAATTAATAAAACAAATAAATGCAATTTATTTAACTGCAATTAATTTGTTTTAATTTAATTACACATTATCCCAAATTATCATATTCATTTAATTAAAGCTTACTGTGTAAATCCTTATTTAATTATTTTTATAATTTAAATATTATTTTATAATCAGAAAAAATAATAATAAACAAATAAATTGCAATTTATTTAACTGCAATTAATTTGTTTTTAATCTGAATTACACATTATCCCAAAGCGGCGTTTTTTAACGTTTTGTGTGTTACCTTTTATTTATTAAATATCATGTTCTTCGCACTTAAATCATAAAATTCAATTCATCAGCAGCAACGCAATATAATTTTAGCATATCTTTAGAACTTCCGAAACAAACTCGCGCGATGGAAATATTTTTTTTTTTTTTTCCGTACAGTGTTGCCATTGGTCGCTTTGAAATCGTTGAGTTTCTGAATCTAAAGCTCATAGGTGCTTTACAAAATATGTAATAGATAACAAAACAAATTCCAAATTTGTGCTTCTAGATGCCCATATTTGGGAGACGTATGTTATTCAAAATTTAATGGCTCTATGTACTGTTGTTTTAATACAATGCGAGAAACATACATACATTTGTGCATATTCTTCATTATTTAATTTATTTAAATATAATACAAGGCGATAATATTCGGTGGCAACAATTTGAAAAGTGATACAGCCGTTTATAGTGATGCGACGCAAAAGGCCAAAACGAAATTAAGAGTCCTTCTGGTCTAACGCTTTTGGACTAATAATGAAATATTTAGTCTTTATTAAAACACAAGCAATAAATTATAAGAAAATTATGAAAAAAAAATCTGAAAGGTTTCAGATTTTAAATTGCGTCCAAAGGGGCATTTTTTTAACGTTTTGTGTGTTACCTTTATTTATTAAATATCGTGTTCTTTGCACTTAAACTATAATATTCAGTGCAATAACAATGTCGCAAAGTAATTTCAAAATTATCATATCTTTAGATTTTCGGATACACAGTTCCGCTCGCTGGAGATAAAAAGGTTTTCTTTTTCCCCGTAGAGTGTTGCCCTCGCTCCCTTTGAAATCCTTGAGTTTGTTAATCAAAAATTCGTTATAGGTTTACAAAATATGAAATCGACAATAAAACAAATTCCAAATTTCAAATTTGGTCTTCCACATGCCCATATTCGTAGCAGGATTACGTTCATTCAAAATTCGATGGCTCTATTTACCGATGTTTTATTACAATGCGAGAAATATACATACATTTATGCAGATTTTTCACTATTTAATTTCTTCAAATATAATGCAGGATTCTAACATTTGGTGGCAAGAATTTGCAAAGTGAAACGGACATTTATAGTGATTCAACGCAAAATCGCAAAACAAAAACAATAGTCCTTCAGGGACAAAGCCCCTTTGGACTAAAAAAGAAAAATAACTGAACGTCATTGATAGAACAAATTGCTTTAAATATTCAATTTCAGAAATTGTGTGTAATAACAGTGATAAGACGAGTATTTTCGTTGAAGCTATAATGCAAGAACGAATATAGCCATTTCGTCATCATGTGCACCAAAATGGCGAACTTGATCATTAGGTACCCCAAGATGGCAAACTCAGAAGCTATTTTGTCTGCGAGAAATGCTTTTCTCTTCCCTCTACTTAAGACTGCAACGTATTTTTAATAAAAGGTAGAAAAGTGTCCAATTAATACTTTTTAATCATTTTTGTTTCGAAAGAGGAGGAAATTTTTCGAGATAGTCGTTAACTCAATGTCAAATAGACTTTCCCCAGTATTCTAACTTTTCCGGGTAAGCTTCGCTTCTTTAGATTTTGAGATCTTTAGATACAATATACGAAATACTCTACAATTTCACTAAAATGTTTTTATATATGTACAAAATTCGTAACAATAGCATTTCTTCCGTAGGAATATTTTGTCCAAAGAGCCAAAATCTTCCAAAGAATTTCGGAATGTTATCCAAAATAAAGTCAGAATTTTTACAGTTCCAGATGAAGTCACAGTCTAGACATTATTTCGTATTACTTTAGTAAGCAGTTTATTTGTGCTAGATGCCCTCTTTTGAGGAAAAAATGATAAATTGCTTGCATTTAATACTGAGGTAATAAAAATTAAGCGAATAACAGAAAATGAAAAATTTAAACAGTAAGACGTCTTAGTCTTCCTACGTATTATGAACAGTAATTTTACATATTTCTTCTGATGTTAGCATGGGAAAACAGTTTAAATGTTGTTGGGAATAACGTAATTAACCTTGGCAATACATTTTATTTACAATTAAACTCCTTACTCTTTTATCCGGCAAAATTCTAATTTTTCTAGTTATATCATTTAAAACTATAATTCCGTCACATTTTACAAGGGTTATTTGAATAATAAACTCATTCTCATTCAACGATTATTAAGAAGCGATTTATTCGAATTGAATTATAAATGGAAGACTTTTGTTGATAAGGTTTCAGGGTATCCTCAAAAGGATTACAAATTTCTATTTCATTATCAATCGGTTTCCTCCACTTACTACTAAAATAAATAATCTTAAGAGTGAGAATAGCAAGCACACCAGTAATTTGTAATCCAGAAAGTAATTTGAAAATCATTTTACTATTATATTGACATATCACCTCTTCAGTACAAAAAGTTCTCTTATAGTGTCGAATGGGATTTTGTGTTAGTACACTGTTAAGTGGCATGGAACTTCCATACTGGTGCCAACAGATATTATCGCCGCGTATGGTGTATGAAAAGAAATTAAATAATGAAGAATCTGCATGCATGTAACGGAAAAAGAAGAAGGTACCTTGAGCCATCTGTTTTGCACAGGCACTACACTATAATTCAATAAACTCAGGAACAATGGACTGTATTATATCTCACTTTAATTATCATTAATTTACATAGTTCATGGCCACTCGAAGCCGCGAATTCTCTCACACGCTCTTAGCTCACAATCTCATGTTACAAACTCCAAGAGCTCAAGGCGCATGCGCCGACGCTAGTAATGAAATGCGCGCGCATGCGCAACATACCGCCCGCCTTGACATGATGTAATCATTCAAAATTAGATCTTACAATAAAAAATTACAGAGTGACAATATGAAATACAGGTAAATAATTGTAAACATCAAATAATAACATCAACAAAATCAAACTGCTATAATAAGAAAATACAATAATTAATTACAAACATACTTTTTGTTTAACTTGGCATAGGTAAAAGACAAATTTTATTAATTTTATTAATTGATTTTTTAAAAATACCTCTTTTCGTTTTCACTGAAACTACTCTAACCTTATTGTCTTTACCTAAGAATATCTCTACGATTCTGCCAAGAGGCCAGTTACATAGAACATTATCAGTCTTTAAAAATTACCATAGTTCCAACTCGACATTGTCTTTTTCAAAGAACCATTTAGTTCTTCTTCTTGCATTGCACACAAATAGTTATTTCTCCAATACTTCCAAATTGTTTGCACTATTTTAGTCAATCTTTGCCAGCTCTTTAATCTATTATCGTTAACATTTAAAATATTAGGTTCTGAAATAGCCGTGATAGGTCTTGCCTATCAGGAAGTGGCCTGGTGTTAAGATATCAAAATCCTCTGGTTCGGATGATAAAGGTTGCAAGGGTCTAGAATTTCAAAAATGCCTTCGAATTTGAGCAATTACTGTAAGAAACTCCTCATAGGTTAGTTTTAAATTGCCTACTACTACCGTTTCAAATGAAACTTAACAGATTTGACACCTGCCTCCCAAAGACCTCCATGATTGGGAGCTCTAGGGGGAATGAACGACCAATCAATACTCTCACTCGATAAATAATTACCTAATTCATCATCTGGTTTGCTGACTAGCCTATTCAATTTCTTTAATTCTGCGTTACTACCAACAAAATTGGTTGCGTTATCTGAAAATATGAGTGCACACTTGCCTCTCCTGCTGAAAAACGCTTTAAGATTGCAATAAATGCTTGACTAGACAGGTCTGTTACCAACTCAAGATGGCAAGCTTTGGTAACAAAGCAAACGAAAATGCACACATGCACCTTGTTAAGGCGACCTTTTTCTCTGATGTGAGTATTTTATAAAATAAGGACCAAAAAAATCAACTTTAACACAATTGAATGGAAAATTCGGGCTGACTCTTTCTTGAGGGAGTTGACCCATAAGTTGTTGACAGGGCACTGGTTTTGCTTTGAAACATACGACACACTCATGTACTATTTTTCTACAAGTGTTGCGCCCGTTAAAGGGCCAAAACCCTTGTCTAACAATAGACAGTAAGCCTTGTGGACCAATATGCATGTATTTCTTATGAAACATCATAATAATTATATTAGTCAACTTATGATTCTTTGGTAAGATGATAGGAAATTTTCTATCAAAATTCAACTTACAATTAGCTAATCTGCCTCCAACTCGTAAAATTCCATATTGATCTAAAAATGGAAAAACACTTCTTACCTGCTATCTGGAGGTACCTTACCCTCCTTTTCAAGGCTTTGAGATTTCTTTTTTAAATTCACTATCTTGAATTAGCTTAATCAGTTTAAGTTCAGCTAATTTTAATTCTGAGCTCTGAAGAGGACCTGAAACCTTGTTCTTCCCTTGCAGTTGTTTACAAACCTAAAAATAAAACTTAAAACACGAATAATTTTAGTGTAATTGTTACTTAAATTTAAGAAATCCTCAATGAAAGGGTTAGCTTTCACATTAAGAAAAATATTAGTATATATTAGAAAAATATTAGATTTTAAGTTCGTCTGGAAAGTCCTTCACAATGACTTCCACCGGAATCTCTCTATTTGGGTAGTCGTCGTATCTCAGGAACAGAGGGCCTTTCCACCACATATCATTTTGTAGAAGTTTACTGGGATCCAAGCCTCGGGATATAAGGTCACTCGGATTCTCCTTTGAAGACACATGACGCCATTGATGACCATTAGTCAACTCTTGAATTGTTGCCACTCGATTTGCAACAAATGTCTTCAACTGGTAAGGCTCCTTTTGTATCCATGAAAGCACGATCATGGAGTCACTCCACAGATAAACGTTGTTCACAGAAATCTCTAATGCAGATATTACTCTAACCTTCAACAACCTTGCAAGTAGGACTGCCGCACAAAGCTCCAGTCTCGGAATAGTAACTCGTTTAATAATAGGCGAGACTCTGGATTTACTCGTCACTAGACTTGTCTTCATTTCTCCATCTCTCGAACGGCACTTGCAATATATGGTTGCTCCGTATGCTACCCTCAGAGGCATCTGCAAATCCATGAAGTTCCACATAGTCTATTACTCTGCAATAAGAATAAACCTTTCAATTTCTATTTTACTTAAAACTTCCAGTTCAGTAGAGAACTTCTTTCACTCATCAGCTTCCTTTTTTGGTAGTGGTTCATCATCCCAATTCAGCTTTAACAAACCCACAACCCGTTGGAGGAATATTTTGGCTTTACTTATGATTGGCCCTAGTAAACCAATCGGGTCAAACAATCTTGCAATTGTGGACAATATTTTGTCGTTTGGTAACAACTATGTCATTATCGAGTTTCACTCTAAAACAGAAACAGTCTCTTCTAGACCTCCAAGACACTCCAAGTGTTGTAGATTCTGCTTCATTAGGAAAGGAATAGGAGTGATCTTCTTCCGCAAGTTCAGCATGATTACTGCACCACTTGTGCAGTGTCATTCCTGCACTCTTCAGTATTGCAGTTAACTGAGATTTAAGTTCCTTATCTGTACTCAAAGATTCCGCTCCACTAAGCACATCATCCATATAAAGTTTTTAAGTAAGACTGGCGCAGCTAATGGAAATTTTGGACCTTCATCAATCGACAATTGTTTAAGAGTTCTCATAGCTAAGTATGGCGCACTAATTGTACCGTAAGTCACAGTATTAAGCTCGTAGACTTTCACAGGTGCATCATTTTCCTTTTTCCACAGGATTCGCTGCAAGCATCTCTGTTCAGGGTTAATTTCAATCATTCTATACATTCTTCTAATATCCGCCGTAAATGCGAATGGGTACTTTCTAAATCTAAGCATGATTGAAAAGAGATCATCTTGAATAACCCCTCCATTACGTTGTAAAGAATTTAGCGAACTTCCATTTGATGTTAAACATGATGCATTAAACACTGTTCTCAATTTAGTTGTTGTTTTTTGAGGTCGGTATATCCCATGATGTGGCATATAGTACACTACCCTAGGCTCATTTTTCTCTTCAACCTCAGTCATATGCCCTAGCTCTTCATATTCCTTTAAAAAATCCTGATACAGACTCAAATATTCAGGGTCTTTAACTAATCTTTTCCATAGGGAATTTAATCTCTCAAGGGCTACATCCCTTGAATTTCCTAAGCAAATGGAATCTTCCTTTAGTGGCATTGTTACAATGTATCTCCCTTCTTCATCCCGCTTATGAGTTTGCACATAATGTTCTTCACATATTGCTGTTTCTTTATTTTTTGGAATGGCTATTTCAACATTCTCTATTGCCCAAAATTTTCTCATTGTTTGTTCTAAGTCATTAGATGTTTTCATTACCCACAATGTACGCGCTCTGTTCTGATGTAACGCTTCCCGACACTAATAAACCCGAACACGCTGTTTTGTAAAATAAGACCCGTGTTTTTCATAGCGAATTTGTTCAGATTTTAATATCTCAAAGAAAACCTCAGCTCCTAAAAAATCATCTCTATACGTTCTGGAACATTAAAATTCTCATCAGCTAATTTTATGTTACAAAAAATCCTGCATTTTAATATCAATTTTCCTTGAAGGAATCAAATCTTGCGTGATTTTTGGTACTGCTAATAAGTCTAAATGTCTCACGTAACTTTTATCTTTATTGCTAATGCTGCCGAAACTCTTTTCCGAATTGTAAACAAGGAATCATTTAATCCGGAAATCGCAATGTTTACCTTCTCATAATCAAAGTTGAATTTATTCGCACAGTCTCTGCTTATAAACGATGAAGTACTGCCGCCATCAAGTAATATTTTGACTGGATGTAGCTTACCCATACTATCACTAATAAAGCAAATAGCCGTGCTCAGAAGAACACCTTTTTTTGGATCTGTTTACACTAGTCGCTGTAAGTAAGAGTATTACTGCTGTTAGGCAGAAAGTCTGGCGCTAGGGGGAAAGCACACTGGAACTACTCGCTGTTTCGTTTTATTTTTTTTTCCTTCTCTTTCGATGATTTATTTTCTACCGTAAAAATGCAGTGTCATGTGGTGTCTTTTCCCCCACAAACGGAACACGAAAACTTTGATTTGCAGTTTTTTGACGGAATGGTTTAATGCTAGGCAATTAAAGCATAATTTATGACTTTTGATGATTTCAACCCGATCATTCACCGGTTGTTTCAAGAAATTTGGGCATTTTGCCAAAAAATTATTTTCCTCAAAAGAACACACTTTAAACCTTTTATATCGGCAAGAAATACTTTTGAAACATTTTTTGACGTTTTGTAATTGTTGCGAGAGTTTTGAAAACTGTCCACACTTACGGCAAGGGACTTTTCCGTCGAGATGTGAAAAATAAATCTGTTTCCTTTGCCATTTGTTGCGGCGGAAACCAACTTTCAGCTTGCCTTACAGAAAATATGGGCAGACGCTTTCTCGATCTAATGTTTCAAAACAATTTGTCTGATATTATTAATGCTTCAGAGTTTCAAAATCAGACACTTTCCTCAATTTTAAGTAATATTCGAAATTTGTGGTAATCGCGACACGAACTGCACATGGGACTCATTTAGGCGTTGAGCCTTTTTAAAATTTGCTAAAACAATTTGTGTGTAGGTTCGAATTCTTTAGAATAATAGCTTTTACTTTTTCATAGTCACTTAGCTTCTCATCTCTAATATACACCGATAATGTTCGAAGCCCGTTCCTCCCCTAACAAGTTTAACAATTTTCCGCTTTAGATTTCTCAGGCACATTTTTTTTTCGCGAAAGCTCTTCTAAGACGAGAAAAAATAACTCCAGTTTTCAGGTTTACTCGGAACCTTCAATGTTATGTTCTATACTTTTAATAAGAGAATCTAAGGAATCGGAACTTTCTCCTTTAGTTTCGTTTGATCGTTATTAACACTTTTGTTTCAGCTCGCAATCGAGCAATTTCCAGTTCTGTTTTACATCTCTCTAATTTAATTTGTTTCTAACTGTAATACTTTAGCTTCTTCAGATTTAGATGCTCTACTATGGAATTACCCAACTTACCCACTCTATTACCGAATTTGGATCGGATTTAAAAGCTTCACTACTTTTAATCGCTAAATTTAAATCTGTAACAGTTATCTTTTCACTTAATTCTATATTCAGTTCTAAGCCACTAGCTTTAAATCCTCTTAAGTGCACCTTTTTCAACATGTACTCTTATGAAATAACACAAGATAATAAGTAATTCTTCTCAATTACTAAACACAGTAACAGTATATAAATTTTCTCAAAACTTTTACACAGTATCTCAAAATAACAAAATGGCACTTTATTCTTAAATCGAAACTGCTGACTTACTTGTTACTTCTATATAACTCATAATCCATAGATCTCTGGCCCATGACGGACCACGATGTTTTGCACAGGCACTACACTATAATTCAATAAACTCGGGAACAATGGACTGTATTATATCTCACTTTAATTCTCATTAATTTACATAGTTCATGGCCACTCGAAGCCACGAATTCTCTCACACGCTCTTACCTCATAATCTCATGTCACAAACTGCAAGAGCTCAAGGCGCATGCGCCGACGCTAGTAATGAAATGCGCGCGCAGGCGCAACACCATCAAATTTTGAATAAAATAGTTTTTTATCCGAGCATGTGCAAAAGAAATCCCGAATTTAAATTTGTTTTATAATTTATTTCACATTTCGTAAAAATTTAGTAAACTTTTGAATAATAAACTCAAGGACTTGAAATAAAGCATTTTTATCTTCAGCGAGAGACTGTTGCCATTCGAAAAAATGTAAAATATTTATCTTTCAATTTTAATTAACAAACTCTTTTCTATGAAAGCAATGTGTTACTAACGTTTTTCTAACGTTTCCCTAATTATACTTGTAACCAGTATAATTATAATCAAGGGAGACAAGGACCCTTATTATTAAAAAAGGCTGCATTATGCATTGAAGGTCAACGGAACCTCCTCTGTTTACAGCAATCAGATATACAGCAGTATAAGAAACGTCGCAAACCTTAATATTCTTAAAAAACTTAATAGCTCTCTCCGTTGGGTGGAGTTCCAAGCGTCTTGTCTCTATTGTTATTCTATAACTTTAGTCTGATGGAAGAACGAAGGTGTTAAGCCAAGTAATGTTGAAGACGTATGCATAATAATAATGCTTGTAACTAGTGTACTATAATGTAAATAAAATTTTGTATATTAATAACGAAGCGGAATAATCACTTACCTCTGGATTTAATGTTCTTTGAATGGTAATGGAATTAGTTACTACACGTTTCTGGTACCGAAACCCGGAGACTACAAAGACTCTAAGTACTTAAGTGTTCATTGTTGAAAAGGCCATGGTTTCATCAGATCGGCAGCTGTGGAAGTTTTTCATCGCTTCCTAATAATAATGCTTGTAACCAGTATACTTGGACGTTTATAATAATAGGGATAAAAGGAACCTTATATTATAATAATAGGGAAATAATCTAATTATACTTGTAACTAGTATAATTAGATTTTCTTCACTGCAGATTCTTCATTATTTAATTTCTTTAAATACAATACAGGGCTCTAATATTTGGTGAAAACAATTTGAAATGTGAACCGACATTTATAGTGAATCAACGCGAAATGTCAAAATAAAATTAATAGTCCTTCTGGGCAAGTTGCTCCTTTGGTCTAAAAATTACACTAACTGGAATCATTAAATCCATTACATTAATTAAAACATACATCATTAGAATATCGTTTTTCTTTTTATGATAACTTTTTTAGGCAGCTAGCCGCGCGAGCGGGTAGTTTTTATAGAAATAATATAGCGAATATAAAAACATATGTGACAAAGTCAAACATTATAGAGAATTCTTAAGCTATGCTGTTTTTAAATATTTTGCGATTTTGCTGTTGAATTGAATTTCATGTGTGTAAATGCGAAGAACGTGATTTTAATAAATAAAGTTAACACATAAAAAATTAATAATAAAAAGACAAAAAACAATTGTTAGCCATCTAAGGAAACTCCCGTACTACTTACAATTTGAAGTAGACTTTTAGTTTTGAATATAACTATCATAATGTAAATTTGCAAATCATCTGAAGACTT